AAAATCAATGTTGCATCCTGGCTAGTGATTCACTCACAAGATTTTGTGACATCTTTTTAATAAAATCTTCAAGGCCTAGGTAATTGTTGCATTAGAATTTTCATTCTTAGAATAAAAATTTACTACTTGTAAAACAGTTGCTTAATGTCAAGGAAGCTTACATATAAGCACCAATGATGATTTTAATCTTTTGAGGTCCGAAACTCTGTTAAGTAATTGGCGAATCATTTCTAAGAATGATCATAGCCAAGGGCATGTCACCTGAAGACTTTCAGCATGAACAGGTTGTTGCCTTCATAGTTTGTTTACCCTCATGGGGAAAATTTGAAGACTTTGTCTTTCCAAATACAGTCAATATGGGGAAATCACATCAAGATTCAATGAATCTCTCCAAGATTTGAAGATATTAGGGCATTTTGGAGGCCAGGTCTTTTGTAAAATCCTCTTGAGATGATTTCTTCTCGTAAATCATATAACTTGGAGCATTTCAGAAGCGAAGTTATTCGCAAGAACTGTTGTGCATCATGCAATTTATCTGCAGTAAACTTGGGGCATACAAAGTTAGTTCCAGAGGCAATCCAGATTTGTCAAGATATATGACGTTCTTTGCACATATTATCAGATGGTGGTGTTCCCCAGTATCTCCAACCAAGCAAGATTTTTCCCCCATCCGAAGCGTTGTTCATGTTGTTATCCTTCCAATGGATTATTGATGTAAGAGGATAGGACTTTGAGTTTTCTCACGAGAAGTATCTTCATCTCCGGAGAGATTAGATCCTTATAGAAGAAATATGCCCCGTCTATGGTTTTGTTTCATCTCCAGTAATGGTCCTATTTTGTTGAGATTAACCGAGTATCTGTTTTTACTGTGATGTCTTTTCATCTCCATTTTATCTTTTTTGGTCTTTTTTTATCAGCATATACATGTCATTCATTTCTTCATTCACACTTACATCATTCATGTACATTCGCATTTCTCGGTGTTTTTGGGTCCATCTACTTTGGTTGTGTTTATCCCCAAGTAGAGTATTCTCTCTTTCCAAATAGAGTGACAACCTAAGCAGAAAGTGTACATCCTTTCTAATTCCCCACTGAGTTTATTCCTCGTGGAAAAGTTTTGTTTTAGATTTCCCTTCCATCTCAGGATAGGATAAGTCCCACTTGAGTTTATTCCTCATCTGGTAGAGTCTTGTTTGACTGTTTTCTCTCTAGTTTGTTTTTGGATTGAGCTTTGTCTCTTGCATATGTCACCCCGTGGATCTCCCTAGGATGTGAAACCTAGACTGAAAGTGAATTTATTTTGCACCTTTAAATACTTCGTCTCCTCGGGTAGAATCTATTCATGGTTTCTAGTAAAGATGAACTTTGTTTCCCAGTAGTGTTGTTGAAACACTCTTTTGGAATCTGCAGATAACAACAAGTGGCGGACTCTTTATTTGAGCAGCTCGATTATTTATTGATTTCCTCTTTTATGGAAAATGGAGGTCTCTTCATGAGCAGTTTTTCTATACCAGATGAAGTTATTGATTCTCATTCCCAACAATGTCTTTATAACACTATATTGAAATATTTTTCCTGGAAGCAAGTGACGGCCTCTTTATTTGAGCAGCTTAGGTATTTCTAGGATACTTTTACTTTTCGGAAAACGGAATCTCTCCGGAAAAGTCTCGCAAAGAAGTTTGTATATTATCCTTATCAAGTGGAAGACTTGATTAAGAAGAAACTGAGACCAGTTCGTGGCTTATGACCAGGTTCTTGGGGAGGTTTACTCAGTAAACGACATCTCTTCGGAAAAGTCCTGCGGGGAAGTTTGTATTTTATCCTTTTCAAGTGGAACACTTGATTAAGAAGAAACTGAGACCAACTCGTGGCTTATAACCAGGTTCTTAGGGAGGTTTACTCATCAAATGGCATCTCTTCAGAAAAGTCTTGTGCGGAAGTTTGTATTATTATCCTTTTCAAGTGGAAGACTTGATTAAGAAGAAATTGAGACCAGTTTGTGGCTTATGACCAGTTTCTTGGGGAGGTTTATTCAACAAACGACATCTCTTCAAAAAAAGTCCAGTGATAAAGTTTGTATTTTATCCTTTTCAAGTGGAAGACTTGATTAAGAAGAAATTGAGACCATTTTGTGGCTTATGACCAGGTTCTTGGGGAGGTTTACTCAACAAACGACATCTCTTCAGAAAATTATCGTGGGGAAGCTTATATTTTAACCTTTTCAAGTGGGAGACTTAATTAAGAAGAAACTAAGACCAATTTGTGGCTTATGACCAGGTTCTTTAGGAGGTTTACTCAGCAAACGACATCTCTTGGAAAAGTCCTGTGGGGAAGTTTGTATTTTATCCTTTACAATTGGAAGACTTGATTAAGAAGAAACTGAGACTAGTTCGTTGCTTATGACCAGGTTCTTGGGGAGGTTTACTCACCAAATGGCATCTCTTCAAAAATGTCCCATGGGGAAGTTTGTATTTTACCCTTTTCAAGTGGAATACTTGATTAAGAAGAAACTGAGACCAATTTGTGGCTTATGACTAGGTTCTTGGGGAGGCTTACTTAGCAAACGACATCTCTTCGGAAAAGTTCCATGGGGAAGTTTGTATTTTATCCTTTTCAAGTGGAAGACTTGATTAATAAGAAATTGACACCAGTTCGTGGCTTATGACCAGGTTCTCGGGGAGCTTTACTCACAAACGACATCTCTTCGGAAAAGTCCAATGGGTAAGTTTGTATTTTATCCTTTTCAAGTAGAAGACTTGATTAAGAAGAAACTGAGACCAGTTCGTGGCTTATGACCAGGTTCTTGGGGAGGTTTACTCAGGAAATGGCATCTCTTCAGAAAAGTCTTGTGGGGAAGTTTATATTTTAACCTTTTCAAGTGGTAGACTTGATTAAGAAAAACTAAGACCAATTCGTGGATTATGACCAGGTTCTTGGGGAGGTTTACTCAACAAACGACATCTCTTCAGAAAATTCCTGTGGGGAAGTTTGTATTTTATCCTTTTCAAGTGGAAGACTTGATTAAGAATAAACTAGAACCCGTTTGTCGTGGAAAGGTTTATTATCTTTTCTACCTTCAACTTTTGAGTTGGTAGTTTACCGTCATCTGTGAGTCGGTATCTTTTTCGATCCTACCTTTGACCATTGAGATGTTAGTTTGCCGTAATTTGTGAGTCAGTATCTTTTTTGATGCTACCTTCGACCATTGAGTTGTTAGTTTACCATCATCCCTGAGTCGGTATCTTATCGATCTTCTACCTTCAACTATTGAGTTTTTAGTTTATCGTCATCTGCGAGTCAGTATCTTTTTTGATTTTTCTACCTTTGACACTGAGTTGGAAATTTACCATCATCTTGAGTCAGTAGACATTTATCTTTTCACAACCTATGTAGGGTTTCTTCCCTGATACAATCAGTAATTTTTTCTTCTCTCGAAATTGTTCCCTAATAAGAGTCTCTCATTAGAAGTTTATGGATGTGTTCCCCAGTGGAGTTATAATCTCTTCCCCTTTGGGGTTACTTTATCATATGCTTGGTTTCTCCAGCAGTAGTTTGTCTCATGTGGCGTCATTCCCTATAAAATTCAGAGCATTGCATTTGTATCATATCATAAAAATCATTGTGGTATCTTAGGACCAAAAATTATGTATTCTATATTTAAGTATCTTCAATCTCATCGAAACGAAGATTTCAATCTTCATATCTTCGAATAGAAGAAACTTAAATAGGGGCAGCTATCATACCCAAAATTTTGACCTAAGATCCCACCTTCATTTGCATTTTCATAAAGCATCAAGGTCACGAGATATAGTTGGTTTTTAATCCGCTCCTCTTCAAGCATTGCTTATGCAACGATTATCAATTATTGTGAACATTTTATTTTATGCATCACTAACTTCTAATTCCATACAAAGGTGTATGTTTCTGTTTCTTTGGTTTCATGTGCAGAGACAGGTCTGAATCAAGAGCGTCAGGTGTTGCGCTTCAATTAGGGTTTTAGATCCCTCAAGTGTTCAAGTATGTTGAATCACCAATTCTCAAAGACTACTTCATCAAATTTTATCCCTTAACCGAAAGCACAGTCAAGATTTCATCATCACTAGCCCATATATGCATTAATATGTCTGGGAATGTAAGGAAAGATCAAATTTGCAAGTCGATTCAAAGCACTTTGACCAAAAGTCAACATTTTCAAGATCATGTTCAAACGATCATAACTTCTACATTATAAAATATTTTCGAGAGGTTATTTTTGCGTACGACTCTCCTTAGCGTCATCTCTAACTTCTCTTTACAAGTTAAGAGCTGATTATATGCGGAGGATCATCGAAAATTTGAATACTTTAGAGGTCATTTTGCAAGTTTGACCTTATTTCAAGTAATTGTTGCTTGACTTTCAAGGATTATAGCTTCTTCAATTTTCAACACTTTTGAGGCGATTCTTTTTTCACATTGTAATAAATGATGTCATATACAAGTTCTCTTCAAGGATCAAAGTCGAATTATGCTTAAAAGGCTATGAAAGTCGGTGAAAAAGTTATGGGTCATTTTGTGACTTAGAATGTTCTTAACTTCTAGGTTTCAATTTATTCCATAAATGTTTTCTAAAGCCCTTGATTCTCTTGATGAGATCATTTTTTGAGCAAGATATCGAGTTCGAAGCTTCTTTGATTTAATTGTTGCATTTCAAGTAACTTGCGTTTGAACATTGGCAATTATTGGATTAAAGCAGATTTTTGACCAAAGATCTTAAGTTGCTTTGAGTTTCCATTGGAAATAATATGAAGATTCACTCAAGGAATATCCATTTTTAAGTTTAAGCTCCAGTCATGTGGATAATTTTGAACCATATATTATTCAATTTGCCATCATTTCAAATTCAAGAACCAATTCAAGTTACTAATACCATGAGTTCATCAAGAGAATTCCCTCAAGTTGTCTTTTCATTCAAGCTTCCAAGATCACATAGATTTCAAGTCTAAACTTTAAATAAATGAACTATGTTACAAGACTTGTTAAGTCTAAAGTTGCAAGGTCATCTAGGAATTCGAAATTCAAGTTACAACATGTTACATATAAGTTCAAGATGCAAAAGAGTCTTAAAATTCCTAAAGTCTAAATTACAAAGTTTCTTGAATCATGCTTCAGCATCTCTTCATGTCCAAACAAAAATTCTACTATCTTGTCTTGTTGTCCTACTATTCATGCTGATGCTTGTGCTCTAAACCAGTCCATTACAAAGCCAAACATAAAAGTCCAAATTATGCAGAACCTTCTATAAATCAATCCATAATGATACCAAAAGCCTACTCTTGTTGTCCAAGCATTACACCAAAAAGGACATACAAATAACCTGATTCAAAAAGTAATAAAATAGAGCAACGCCTCAAGTAAGCATAAGAAGAAAGGAGGATCAAAAGTCGTACCTATGAAGAAACTCTTCTCTATAAGAAATTGAGAAAGAAATTAAGAAGAAGAGAATAATTGTGATGATGTCCAATTGAAGAGTCTTCCCTCAAAGCTTCAAGAATCAATCCCCAAGCATTAAATTCAATCACAACCTGCAAAAATCCCAAAGAAACTTTAGAATCTATAATTTTCAGAAGCAACACAATCATTTTCAGATTTGTTTAAAGCAGAAGAATAAATAATTAAGGAGTTTATTACCTCTGGGTTTCTTTCCAGCCTTTGTCGAAATCAGAAACCGTTAGACTGGCTCCGACCATGTGAGTCTCATTCTTTTATTCTCAAATATATTGTTGTTATGATAAGTTGTTGCCTTGTTTTTGTTTTTGTTGCTTTAAACCAAAACCGAGTTTAGAATTTTGTTATTGATGTTCGGATAGAGAGTTAAATCGTAAAATAGAAGAAGAGTTATTGTTGTTAATGAATCGAGAAACATCACTGTTGTTGTTGTTCTGTTCATGAGAAATCGCGAGAGCTTAAACAGAATCAAGAGTTGGGTCGAACCGATTGAGAACTGGTGTTTCGTTGTTATTCGAATGAGAGTGAATCGTGAGAGTTATTGTTCCGATAAAGCTGTTGCGACCGAGAGAAACTCACAAAAAGTATACTAACAAGCTTTTGCAATACAAAAAAAAATCTCATAGAAATCACTTTCAAAATCCCTCACATACTCCTAGCTCCAAAATACTCAACATACACAAAAAACTCTGAAACCACACAGCCCCTGTAACCTTACTCACGCACCTTCACAAGGCTATAAAACCTACTTCTATTCACAAACAAAGCTATCGCTCAGAAACTTAGCATAGGGATTTTGAGGTTGGCTATTTGAAACTTTGCGAGAGATGAGCGGAGAGGGTGATATCGTTGTACCGAGAGCGGAATTGAGTTTTTCTGCTGTAGTTTTGTTCAATCGCTTGAGATAATAGGAAAGGGAAGGTGATTGGCATGCTTCCATTTTTTATCGTTGTTTTGAAACAGAACAAAATCTCCTAGTGAGATTAGAAGAGAAGAACAGATGATAGGGTGCTTTTAGTTAGAAAGGGCTTGGATTTGGTCCGACCCGACCCAGTCCACTTTAGGCCTAGAGTTTTTTTTATATTTTCTTTTTATTTCCTTTTGGGCCTTCTGAATAATCTATCCTAAAGCCCAGCGAATTCTATATGCCCCCATTTTCTATTTCACACCTTTTTTTATAATTAATTTAGTTTAGGTTTAAATTAGTATTTTTATTATTAATATAGTTTAAATTCAAAATTTTATAATTAACTTAGTTTATATTTAAATTATTTTAGATATAATTTAGTAACTTTAAGAATTAATTTACGTTAGATTTAATTTAGTAATTTTAGAATTCTAATTTTTATAACCTTAAAATTTTAATTTAGTTTATATAACTTTTGTTTTAGTTACATCTTTTATTCTACATTTTGCTTTCTTTGTCACTTCAATTGATTTTCTTGTTATTTATTCGATTTGTTTACTTATTCCCTTTGTAATTTTCTTTGCTGGTGAATATTATGTTTATAATTTTTGTGTCTTAAATCCGAGGGACAAGATTAATTCGTTGACTTCATGTCATCAAATATGCCTAATTTGATTGTGCGAAACCCCTTCATACATTTTTTTAAGTTTTGTTAATCTTAAGTTAAAATTCCTAAAAATCAATTTTTAAACTTACACTCATTTAAGCTAAAACTTCGACACTAGGTCGTCGCATCTTCAAAATCTCATCCTCGCACTCATTTAGCAAGCAAACCAATTTTAACCCAAAAACAAATATTTCAAAAGGTTCCTATAGGATACTATAGATAGATAGGGTGCTAGTACCTTCCCTTGTATAACCAACCCCTGAACCTTCGATCTCTTTCAAATGCATTATATTTTTCTATACCTTTAGTATTACACTTACTTTGCATATTTATGGGTTTTATTTCGCACTTTTACCTTTTCCCTTGGAAATAATAAAGCACGGTGGTGACTCTTGCTTTTGCGAGTCAAGTTAATCAATAGCTTGATCTCTTATTTTCACTGCTACAGGTCTATATGTTCTCTTGAAATGATTTCCGCCTTGCCTAAACAGTTTTGCCTTACGCCGTCATGACCTAAGTTTCATGCCCAAACTTGTAGCAACATGAAGCACACATAAATTCAGTCCAAGATGAAAACCAGTCCACAGCAATCCAAATAAACCTGCATTCAAGATCATTCCGCTCGTGACAATTTTCAAAAAAAGCCTGTTCAACAAAACTATACCTGCAACAATAAGCTTGCAATGTTCAAAATCATGACAGAAAATTGATTATTGCAGCCCTGCATAATCATGAAGAGGATTAATTAATCTTGCATCAGTTCTATAACAAAAATCAAGGAAAATATAACAGGACATAAGGAAGACTATTAAATGAGGGAAATATATCAGCAGGAGAATAAATCAGAAATTCAGAATTCGCAGGTACGATAGAGAAATATTAGAAGAGATGGTGGAAATAGTAAGAACAGATAAATAATTATAAATCAGGAAAAGGAAATGGAAGAAAATAGAAAATAGAAATTGTGCAGTATAACAGAAAAATGAGGGGAATATAACAGAAAATTGGAAGCAATCCTATCCATCCATTTTCTAACAAAAAATTCAGATTCAAAGGTCAAGTTGATTTTACCTGTAACGAACTTTGAGAGATATAAAAGAATCATAACCTCTTTCATCTTCATTCTTCACTTCTTCTGAAGAATCACCAGAAAACACCACCAATAGTTTCTCTGCTTTTTCTATAAATTTCAAGCTTCTCTCCACCCTCTATCTTCATCATCATCTTATCTCTGCATATTCTTTAAAATCTGAAGAATCACCAGAAACTCACCAAAAAATCTGCATCATCTCTCTGCTTCTGCAACTGAAGTTCTTTCTACTCTCTGCCTCAATCGTGTTCTACTTCAACCTTCATCAATCATCTCTCAGCATCATTCACGCTTCATTCACTGCAACAATCCTTCATAATCTTCATATCGACTCTAAAAATCTTTCATCATCTTCACTAATCCTTCAACCTTCACCTGCTTCAAGCAGCCGCATCCATCCTCCTCTCTGAAATTCAACATCAACAAGCTCAGACGCAGAAAACGAACAAGAAGAAGCATTTACGTAAATTTAAGAGATGCCATACCTGATGATGGAAACTTCTTCAGATTTCTGGTCGTGAACATCTCCATCTAATACGCGTCAGACGAACTCCGACAGGTAAGCCTTCAACATTCGAACTCTGCATCCTTTCCTTCTTTTCCTGTGAAACTGAGATATATAAGACATTACAAAACTGAAACGCGACGGAGATTTGAGAAAATTAAAATCAGCAACGAGGTTGAGTCGAAGGTGTGGGAGATGAGATGGGTTGAAATCAAACTGAGCGGAGAGCGTGAGATCAAAGAAAACGAGGGGAAGCTTCAAAGAAGATGGAGCACTGTGATGGGGATGAAGCACAATGACAGAAAGATGAGCAAAGAGGATCGGAGGCGAGAACGAAGGAGCGGATTTCGTCGAAAAGGAAGATATTGAAAGACGATGATGAGAAGCGTGATATGAGTGGTCATGGCGGATAGGCGTCTGTTATGGAAGTGTTAGTTTGAAAGTGGATCGAAGGATTGAAGAAGGAGGCTGCCGCGCGTTTGATGAGAGAAGAGGAAGAAGTTTCCTCATATAATTTGAAGAGACACAATATTTTGAACCCTAACCTTCATGAACCAAAACACATTGTTCTGTTTCCTTCTTTTCATTTTTTCTTTACTAAAAATTTGTTAATAAATTGGAAATAGAAATAAGTGGACTTGGATTAAATTGGTGGTGTTGGCGACTGGTTGGGCCGAACTACATTTCCTTAGGCTCGTTGGAGTTTTTTCTGGAACTTAATTTCCTTGATACAAAAAACTGATTTGGACTTTTCTCAGATGGGCCTAGCGCCCATATTGCTTCTATCCCACCTGTTTCAGGCTGACACCCCCCTGTGTAGTTTTTTTAGTTTTTTTCTTTAGCTTTTTCTTTTCATAATTGTTAGATGACATTTTTGCTAATAAAAAATATTTATGAAACAAAAACATTAATAAAAAAATGTTAGATTTTTTTATTTGTTTTTCCTAGAATTAAATCCCAATTATCCGATTATTTGAGATTTGTAATTCACCTTTGCTTGTTGAGATTTGAGTCTTATACGGGATTATTGTGTGATATGCAGATATGCTCGAGATTTTAATTATGCTTTATTTTCACATCGATGATGCTTCGACACTTATTCTGAGCATTTGATTTCTGACTCTTTTCTTTGGTTTGTGAAGTTTTCACGAAGATCGTCGGGTTTCTTTATTTTGATACACTTTGCTACGGATTGATATTTGTTTGGTATTTTCTCTTGTCTATCTCATTCGATAATTTTATTGCTTTCTAGATATCATGAGAAGTAAGAACTTTAATGCTTCCTAGATATCATGAGAAGTAGGAAATAAAGAGCGTACGCTTGAAGTTGTTGTTTAAAGTCATGTAGCATGCACTGCTTTCTGTATGTTATTTGTGTTTGTTTAAAATCCTACCTTTGAAGTAGGTATTTTGCACGTGTGTTTACATTTGTGCTTGCATAATGTTACAGATGATAAGTCCTCAAAAGGAGGTGAGCGGATAGGGTTCATAATCAACCCCCACATATTTTAGTCTGTGTCATCCTTAGCTCACATTGTATGTCGATGCTTAGGAGTCATGCAGATCTTGTGT